GAAGGAAGGAAGGAAGGAAGGAAGGAAGGAAGGAAGGAAGGAAGGAAAGAAGGAAAACAGAAAAGTAACAGTGGTGTTTGCTTTAAGGATTTTCAGTCAAGGAAAAGCTGAATGCTAAATTAGGCTTCTCAGGAAAACGGACTTTATTCTCAGTATTCAAGCCACTCCCTGTAGCTGGACTGTGTATACAGACAATATGTAAACCCTCGAGTACAGCATCATTTCATATCCAAAGACATCTCGCAACACACCAGCTGCTTGGGGCCCACACTGTTTCAACAGTTAAACTAGGATGCTGGTAGCACTTACTCTAGCTTTTTCAAACACATCTTCATATGTACCATATTCTCTGTTTCAATACAAAAACAAGACTGAAGTAAAGAGAAAAAATTAATCACTGCAAAGGAAAAGGTAAAAAATAAATTTGTTCTTAATACAAAAAGAGAAAATGTTTGAGTCAATCTGTTAAATCATATATTAAACACTAGTTCTTGAGAATCATTAGCTAGAAGAAATAGATACCGCAGATGCAAAAAAAATTATAGAAAGAAAAATCAGAATTCTCGTGGGTTTAATGGGCATACTCAGTTAGCACTTGTAAGTCTCTTACCATATATGGGCCTCAGGGAATATTCCAGGTATTCGTCTGGGGAGATGGGATGCCCATCTACTTTCAGCTCGAGAGAGAAGTCCCTCAGAGTCCACACGAAGTCCGGGAAGAAGCTCACAAACTCATCTGAGACATCAACCTCATGCTGGTCAGGTGAGGATCTTGTTCTGATTCTGTCTGTCAGCTCTGTCACATAGCTGAACAGATAATTAAGGAAAACCCCGGAAACAACCAGAGCACCAACCATAGCTCCAGGGTGACCATCCTGTATTAGTTACACATCTTCCTGGACCCTAGCCCCAAACCCTCATTTGTTTTGTTCCTAACCTCAGGGTGAACACTGTAGCTACATATTCATGAGATATTTGTATGTTTTATGCTTCATTAACCAAGAGCTAGAGTTATGGAACTCTTTAGAAGGCTAGGTCACCCCAGTTGGTCTGGTGCTGTTCTGGCCCTCAAAAAGGATACTGCAGCTGGTCTAAGGCCTGCTGGTTGATAGCTCCCATGCTGTTGTACACAAAAGTGCTGCTTAGAAGCACAGCCAGGGCAAAGATCCAGCAGTCATTCTGGTTATTACCCTGGAAGTCAGAACATGCATGACTAAGGAACATGTTTTGTTCTTATATCACTTTCCAGATCAGTAGTGCCAAAATATCCCTTCATTAGAGAGAATTTTAGTCTTAAAAACATTAAACCTTTTGTGACCTGTGCAAGGTACAAAATTAAACAAGAGAAAGCAATAAGCCTACAGGTGTCATGCACAGCTCTTGCACAGTAAATGTTGATTTGGTTCACGATTCTTTCACATTGATTCTCACTATGCTGCTTTGGTCATTGTTAGTGTTTCAATACTACAAATTCCACACTCCTCTTTTTGAGCCATATTGTACTATTTCCCTCATCTTTGTTGGCTAAACATAGCTATATGTCATGTAAATAAAAAAGAAAATGATGAAGTTCAAACACTTCTTCAAAAGCTATGGAAACAGTGAGAAGGACTGGTATGTATAGAAAGCCTGCTGCCCAGCCATAGAGAATGAGTTCAAACCCCAGAAATCTCATGGTGGAAAAGAGAACTGACCCTACATGTTGTCCTCTAACCTCCACATGTTCATTGTAGCACATGCACCATGGCACATGCAGCACACGCACAGACCCATGCTCACACGTGCGCACGCACACACACACACACACACTCACACAATAAATAATGTTTTTAAGCACCATAGCCAAGAGTGTAGAATATTCAGAGATGAGGGGCTAAATTGTACACTGAGTCCTCAGTCCTTACTTTTTCAACATCTCCCAGGCCCTCGGTGTCAAGCAGAACTAGAGTGTGGTCTGGCTTCTGGGGATGAGGGACACACAACATCCAGATCCCTTTGGTTTTAGACTGTACTGTGGAGCCCAGGGGAAAGCCTGGAAAACAGAGAGGAAAAGAAGGATTAAACATGTACAAACGAGTGTTTAAAGGAAGTGAAAGTAAAATTTGCATAATCAAACTGGAAAGAAGCTCAATGGTTAAGTGTGCCTTCTACTCTTTCACAGTGCAGAGTTCAGTTGTCAGCATCTATATAGAAGGTCACAGCTATCTATAACTCCAGTTTCAGGGAAGCTTATGTCCCCTTCTAACATCTGTGAATACCAGGCATGCACATGGTACATAGACAAAATACTCATACATCTAAAAATTAAAATAAATAATTTTTTGAATAATCAACACAATGAAGGTGGGAAGAATTAATTGAATCCAAAGCTAGTACTTATCATATAATCAGAGATATAGCAGAAATTTGATTTTAAGATATACAGTCCCATGACCTCCAGGCTTGCATCAAGGTTACTCCGAAAATATGTATCAGGGTCAATCTCTCATGTACATCTCCTGTGTATGGAGCTACAACAGCAGGAACACTGAAGCAGTATCCAGAAGCTGATATCTAGAAATGTCTACCACATGCCTTCATACAGCACATGGAACTACAGGGTTGTTGTTTGCCCTGCTGGGGTTCAGTCTTGCTATGGCATGTTCTTTCCTTCCTCCTCCCCTAAACAATGGAAACTGGAAACTTTGTTCTGTACCATTGCATATTACAGATATGTCATTTAATTTTATTTTGCAAAAGGTTACAGGCAAATGGTTGCTTGAATCTCATGAGACTGGCTATTGTCGTCCTTTGTGAAAACGGAGAAAAATGCTATGTTTTGAATGTAAAATGTACAGGTTCACGTGTTTTGAACACTTAATCCCCAGTTAGTGGCACTGTGTTAGGACATGGGGAAGCATTAGGAGATAGGACCTGGCTGGGAGATAACAGGCCTTTGAATGTTATAACACTGGCCTTGCTTGTGGCCCTCTACTTTTTGTTTCCTGGTCAGTCATGAACAAGTCACAAGCTCCTTCCATTATACATATAGCCACAAAGTCATGTCTTCCCTACAACAGTTGACTGATATCCCCTTAACTGTGAGCAAAGTAAATCCTCCTTCCTTACATTGCAGCTGTCAGTCATTTGATATGGGATGAGGCTGATACAATCTAGAAAACCTGAGAATCTGGTCTCAGACGGATGTCTCTATAACCGTCTTCATGCCAACATCATTCAGAGTACCCAGCTGTCCTGTCTACAGGGGAATAGATAAGGCAATGGTAGACACACTTTATCACTGGACTTCAAAAGGAAGAAAATTTTGACTCACATTCTCACAGTGACAAACTTTGAATGTATCATGCTAAGTGAAAGAAGAAGTAACAAAAATACCATATTTTGTACAAGCTCACTCACATGACATTCCTACGACAGTGATATTTGTAGATATAGCACATAGAATAGTGATATAGATTGGGAAAAATGCTACTTCTAGAAATGAATGGTGAAGACACAGATGGATAAATTTCTTTAACGCCGCAGAACTAGACAGATAAAAGCAATCATAAAGATAAACGTTATATAATCTACAATAAAAAATCAATACATAAACTAAAGATACATTTTTTAACATTAAAGACCACTAGAAACTTGCTGTAATATAGGAACATATATCAATACCTTAAAACTAATTAACATGTAGATTATCTTTATTACTGTCTTTCTCCATCTGTGAAATAAACCAGTTGTGGTTTTAGAAGGTAAACTAGAAATTAGTTGTGGTGATACATAACTGTAATGAGCTCTCAGGAGACCATGGCAAGAAGACCATGAGTTCAAGATCAGCACTGACTGCACACTGAACTAAGGACCTGCTTGAACTATATAGCATGACCTTGTCTCAAAAACAAAAGCAAAGAGACAAAGCAACAACAACAAAAAGGAACACAACAGCCAACTGCAACCGGAAGATTAAATTCTTTACCCTGTCATGTAGAAAACAGACAATGTGAGTGCACTCTTCGGATGCAACACAGCTGTGTTGGTGGCCCTCACCTGATTTCTGCCCAGCCAGCTTGTTCATCAAGTAGGATTTGCCTGTGCGGTAGAGGCCCACAATGGCCACCACTACCACAGGCTGTTTGATGTTAGACAGGATCTCTAGAGCTTCCTCGTTGGCTGTCAATTGCCCTTTCACATTCTCAATGAGGCACACAGGGCATGGCATATAGACTTCTGAAGTCATTGTGCTTGATTTTCCTGGAGAAAAAAAAATAAGATTAAGTAGAATCAGCGCTTTTAAGTCAGAAGGTAGAGTTTTATAAAAAATCTTTAAATAATACAACAATGTTGTGTGCATCAGAGACATAGATGAAGGAGAACTTATATAATTTTAGAATCTTATAGAATATTATTAAAGATTTTATTTATAATTTAACAGGAACAGCATCCTACTGTTCTTACAACACAAATATTCCACTTAATTTTGCATAGAAAACTTTCCTTTTTAAAGATTTTAAACTAGACATCAAATGGAATGCAGAATCAGATTTAGAGAAATGATTTTATATTGATTTTATATTGCAGTTGCATATAATCAATTAAATTCTCATTTATTCATTTGTTTATCATTACAACAAAGAAAGAAACCTAGAAACTAATATTTCATTGTTTCATGCATATTTATGATAATTTCTGGTGATCATAAAATATATTCATTCTACCCATCCTAGCAGTTATACTCATGTTGTGGGCATGAGTCTCTACCCACAGAAGTAATTATATAACTAAAATGAAAAACTACATAAGGTTATTTATTTATTTGGGGTATTTTCTTTGCTCTTTCATTTTTTTTCAAAATTTATGAAAATATGTGACAGTGACTCTTCCAAGGACATGTTGCACAAGAAAGGTGACCTGAAAAACAGCTACACAGTAAATCAGTTTAAATGCAGACAAGGTTTGAGAGTAACAATACAAAAACTGGATATTGTAGAAAGCAATTGTAATGTAAATAACAAGAAATCAGGGAGCTGAAGGCCACTAGAAAGGAAGTGGTTCAAAGAATTACTCACTGCCACTCTTCATTAGGTTTATTGAGTAGTTTTCATTTGATGGAGAAGGAGGAATGCAAGAGGAGTAAGAGAAACACTGGGAATCAGAGGCTAGGAGCTGACTAGGCAGAACAAAGCTGTCAAGAAAGAATGTGATGAGTGAGAATGGTGCCTGGCTGGGGTTCTGGTCTCCAGAAGGCAGGGACTGAGAGCCTGGAGTTGGGGAGCGGTAAGCAGACTTTGTTCTCAGTCCTATGTACCCAGGAATCTTTTAAGAAAGTCCTTCACTACAGTCTAGGGGCGGATCTTGCAGGGCAGGGTTAAGAAGTACATGGACATGAGGAATAAGCCAGTCTTCCTACTAAAGAAGAAAGCTCACTTGAGCCAAGATCAGACTGTGATTGTTACTGCCCATGCTTCATCTTTCACTCTAGTGTCTAGCTGTGACCAGAGGTTCCCAGAAAACTGTCACAACTGTGTCAATGAGCCTAGAAGACTGACTGACTGACTGACTGACTGACTGACTGACTGGCTAGAAATCACATTATGGTGGGGAGCTGGAATGTTGTAGTCTAGAGCCAGAATTTCCTGGGTTATCTTTAGCTGCCTCCATAGCCATGTCTTACATCAGAAGGCCTGTAGCAAACTCCCCATTTGCTATAATCTACCAGTTTCATGTTGCCACCAATGTATTTTAAACGTATTTTAATCTATGACTTTCTTTATTCTGTTGCTAAAGAAACTTTAAGAAACTTGCCAAGCTGGAGTAAAGTGTGTGTGGTAAATTGAGCTTGTGTTCCTGGCCCATCAATCATTCAGCTCTCAGAGAGACCATATATATTATTCCCTTGATGTATACTTACAACAATACAACATTTTCTCTATTTGTTCTTCACCCAGGTGGTGGCTGTTTACCCTTTGTCTCATTCTCTTTCCCCTTATGAAAAGCAGTAATTTGCAGCCCTTTCACTAGGAGTACGAAGGCATCAGCTCTGCTCCATCACTGACCATACTCATTTAGCTGTGCCCATCAGCAGACAGCGTAAGCATAGAGAAAGACAATTCCAATGCATTTATAACCCCTGGTTAAGCCTCACACCTGATGGTCCCTAACTCAATGCAACCCAATAATGGCTTTTAAAGACTAGCTGCCCTCATAAGATCACTCAGGGTTCATCTACTGCTCTGTCGCAGCCCAGGTCCAGGAGCAGTCTATTCTACTTACAATAGTTCTAAAAAAAAAATCAATTAACCCACAAAAATGTCATCTCATTCCTGCCCAGGATGGTGTTCTAGAGCAGAACTCCCCAAACCTAGGAAACACAAGTGCCCCTTCTTACCTGCTCTTGCTGCTCAGCGCAGGTGGACAGCCTCTGCCACTGTCTTTTATATTCTCCTGCAATCTTGTGAGGCTTTCTGGATTTTCCCTCCTGAGCAAATGTTGAAAATCCCTGTGACCTTTGTGGTGGGTTGAAGTACCAGAAACTGAAAGAAACCACCAAAGGTTGCCATAGGTACACTGTGTTAGTGGTAAAAGGATTGTCAGCATTTCCCAACAGAACCTTCAGTATTCGGTTCAAAGAGATCTCAAATTCATTTGTTGTTAAAACTTTTCCATGTGATATAAAATAGATGTGATAATACTCAGATTTGGGGCTAGCTGGAAAAGCTTGGTTGAGGAGAAAGTGGATAATAATTAGCCTTAAGGTACTGATAAAAATGTTCCCATAGAAACAGAAATTTCTACTCGTCTTTGAGGTTCAAGAATAATGTCTAATTGTCATTTATGTATGGACATTTTTATTATTGATAATTATATAAGACTTATATTTGCAATTGTTTTTAGATATCTGGTGCTGTGGAATTAAAGAAATTTGTACTGTATTTCATCCCCATACATCTCTAGAAGTAACCTATTGTCCACCTTAATATGAATTTGACTTTCCGAGGAATTTCATATACGTGAACTCATACAAAATATCTTTTTTGTATGTGACTGATTATTTCACATCACTTAGCAAGGCACCTTGAAGGTGCCTTGTATCTGTGAGAACATGTGTCAAATTTATCTTTCCTTTCGAGGTCCAGTGGTAATGCATGTCTAGCATTACCGTGTCTATTCCCCTGTAGACAGGACAGCTGAGAACTCTGAATGATGCTGACAAGAAGATGGCTGTAGAGACACCTGTCTGAGACCAGGCCCTCAGGTTTTCTAGGTTGTGTCAGTCTCACCGCTGATCAAATGATTGACATCAGCAATGTAACAAAGGGTTTACTTGGCTGAGAGTTGAGGGGATATCAGTCAGTACACTATATATCGGAGATAGGACTTTGACTCTAAGAGTAGTGGTAGGAGCATATGTCATTGCTCATGTGCTACAGTGCATATGTGGAGGTTAGAGGATAACCTGTGGCTCAATATTTTCTTTTTTCTCTCTTTTTCTTTTTGAGATAGGCTTTCTCTGTGTAGCCCTGTAACACTGGTTATCCTGGAACAAGTCTTTCTAGACCAGACCAGCCTCAAACTCATAGAGAAACTCCTGCCTTTGACTTTGAAGTACTGGATTAAAGGCCACAACTTGTATATCTTTTATATCATGTGGGTTCTAGGAATTTATCTCATGCTCGAAGCCTGGACAGCAAGTCTTTTATACCCACCAAGTCTCACTGGACCTGTAGTTTTCTTTTTTTTTAATCAATTAATTTAAAAAAACTATTTTTTTCTCATTTTACATGCAAATCCCATTCTCTCCCCTTTTCCTGCTCCCTTCAATTTCCTGCCCAATGTACATCTACTCCTCAGAGAGGGTAAGACTCCATGGAAAGTCAATGAAGTCCAGCACATTGCTTTAAGACAGGCCAAGGCCCTCCCACTATATCTAGGCTGAGCAAGGTATCCCTCCAAAGAGAATGGGTTCTAAAATGCCTGTATAAGCAGTAAGGATAAATCCTGGTCTCACTGCCAGTGACCCCACAGTCTGCCCCAGCCATACAACTGTAATCCACATTCAGAGGGCCTATGCTTGTTCCCTCACTGTCAGGCTGGAGTTGGGACCTATAGTTTTTTAGGAAGAGTTTGAAATTTATCATCACATCATTTTCTTTTTACTTGCATGAGATGTAGTCACATTTAACCAACAAATGGGAGGGACCTTGTTTCAAGACTGGGTCATAATACAGTAGTGTGGTAGTTGCAGTACTGTAACACTAACGACAGATTAAGCAGCACCAGTCAGAATCCTCACAAATGAATCCACAAACCAAATCAGCATTCACCCTGCAAGTGCTGTGGATAACATCTACAGGTTTATTGTTATTTCTTTTGTATGGTTTTGTATCTTGCATAGGTCACAAAGGATTTAATTTTTTTGAAGGCTAAAATCCCCTCTAATGGAGTGAGTATATGTTACCACACTGATCTGGAAAGTGATATAAGAACAAAACATAATCCTTACCCATGTGTGGTCTGACTTCCAGGGGGATAAACAGAATGACTGCTGGATCTTTGCCCTGGCTGTACTTCTAAGCAGTACCTTTGTGTACAACAGCATGGGAGCCATCAGCCATCAGGCCCTGGACCATCTGCAGTATCCTTTCTGAGGTTCAGAACAGCCCCAGAGTGAGTGGGGTGACCTAGCCTACTAAACCAGCTCCATGACTCTGGATTTTGATTAGCGCAACATAAAACATAGAAATACCTCACATATATGTACCTATGGTGTTCATCCCGAGGTTAAAAACTAGGCAATTGAAGATTTGAGGCTAGGTTCCAGGATGATGCAGAACTAATGTAGAATAGTGATCCTGGAGGCTTGCTTGGCACTAGGGCTGTATCAGGGACTTTCCTTAATTAGCTGTTCAGCTATGAGACAGAGCTAGCAGACAGAATCAGAACAAGATCCTCATTTGACCAGGATGAGGTGGATGTTTTGGATGAGTTTATGAGCTTCTTCCTGGACTTCATGTGGACTCTGAAGGACTTCTCTCTTGAGGTGAAAATACATGGGAAACCCATCTCCCCAGATGAATACCTAGAGAATTCTCTGAGGCTTATAAAGGGTAAAAAATTAACCACTGATGAATGGTGATTTCCAAAAAAAACCCTGAGAATTCAGATCTTCCTATCTATGATTTTTTTACATCTGAAATTTCTATTTCTTCTAGCTAGCTACTCCTAGAAATTAGTTCTTAGTATATAATTTAATAGATTGACTTAAAACTTTTCTCTTGAAGAATAAATGTGTTTGTCTTCCACCTTTATCTTTGACTTTAAATTGTCTTCCCGCATTGAACTTGTTTTTATGTCAAAAGAACAGAATACAATGTGCAATGAATATATATTTGAAAAAAGTAGGTTAAAGTGTTACCAGTGTCCTCACCCAACAGTTGGAACAATGTGGCTGTCACACAATTGTTCAGCTGCCAGGCATCTTTGGAAATGAAATGATGCTGTACTCGAGGATTTATATGCTGTCTATGCACACAGTCTAGCTACAGTGTGTGGGTTGAATACTTAGAATGAAGCTCCCTTTTTCTGAGAAGGCCAGCAGAGTATTCAACCTTTTCTGGACTAAAAATTCTTAAATCAAACATCACCTGTTGACAGAAGTTTCTTTCCCATCTGGTCCCCCAGCCATTCAGTCCCAAAGAAACACACAGAGTTCTACATTAATTATAAACTGGTTGACCTATTAGCGCAGGCTTCTTATTAACTCTTACATCTTAAATTAACCCATAATTCTTGTTTGTATTAGACACATGACTTGGTGCCTTTTATCAGTGAGGCATTCTCATCTTGCTTCCTCTGTGTCAGAGTGACGACTGCAGACTGAGTCTTTCCTCTTCCCAGAATTTTCTATTCTGATCACCTCACCTATACTTCCTGCTTGACTACTGGCCAATGTGGAAAGGGTGCTTAAAAGAAATCCCACACTAGCTCAAAATTGAAAAACAGATAGTGATGTATTTAGGGGTAAATTCACAAATCAGAATTCACTGCTTGAACAGAGGCTGCATCCAGAAATCCAAAAGAGCAGCTGGGAAAGAAGGGGCAGAAGCAGGCTATACATCAACATATATAGTATAAGGTTCCATGCCCCAGTAGGCAGGTAACCACAAGCTGTAAGACTTCCAACATCACCTCCTCCTTTTGTTTAAATAAGAAAGTTCTAAAACTAATACAAAATTATAAACAATAAGAGCAAATATAGTCAATAATTATTCTATCCTAACTAGTTTAATTCTTGTAAAGTAAATAGCTTGACCAAGTCATGAGAGGAAAATAACTACTACTATCTAGTCTTTAACCCCTTTGAAGATCCGAGAAGGGAAATAATATTACTTGAGTAAGCAGGAAGTACAATTAAGCAACTTCCAAAATATGCAACAAATGACAGAGACAACTGGCTACAATTACACAAAGTCTCATTTGCAACGTTGAAGCAACCAATTTTGGCTAAGGCCTAGAATAAATGATAGACCATTTTCAAAGGTGGGAAATTTTTCAAAACTGTCTTATCCTGTCTTGGCAAGATTTGACAGTTCTGTTTATCCATTTCTGGATACTATGTATCTTGTCAGTGGCTGAGGCATGGGCATTTCTTTGCCCAAAGGCCAGTTTTGCTGAGAAAAAAACAAGCTCAAAGTGGAGTGTCTTTGGTGTTCAAAATTTTCTTGGGAATAGATCGGTGCTGCCAGAAGCAATTGTGTCTCATTTCAACAGAACCCTAAGTTATTTAAATGCCATATTCTACAGCTCTTTGAAGCTGTTGAAGATTACCTATCTATGTAGAATATAATCTCTATGTATCTAAAGAACCTGACTAGTCTAGCTATAGGTATGATAAACATAGATGACTATTTTTATTTATATTAAAAATTTCCACCTCCTCCCAATACCCTCCCACTTCCCCCATTCCCTCTCCCTCTGCCTCTCCAGTCCTAAGAGCAGTCAGGGTTTCCTGCCCTGTGGGAAGTCTAACGTCCTCCCCCCTCCCTCCAGGTCTAGTCAGGTGAGCATCCAAAGAGACTAGGCTCCCACAAGGCCAGTCCATACAGTACAATCAAAATTCAGTGCCATTGTCCTTGGCTTCTCAGTCAGCCCTCATTGTCAGCCACATTCAGAGAGTCCAGTTTGATCACATGCTCCATCAGTCCCAGTCCAGCTGGCCTTGGTAAGCACCTATTAGATCAGACCCATTGCATTGATGACTATTGATTTAAATTCTTAATACCTATATAACTTAAAGACGAAGATAATAAACAACTGTGCAACAAATGAGGACAACGACCTCAAAAGGTAAAAAAAAAATGTATAAATATCTTGATCAGAGGTAAAAATATACAATGCAATATGATAAATATATAGCAGCATATGAAAAATGTTTTAATCAGAGGTAGAAGTATGCATGCATACAATATTCAATATAATTTAACTTTGTATCAATATACAAGAATCTATACCAATGTAATTATCTATAAATAATAACTCACAAGTATTCACTCTATTACTCACTATTATTATTAGTGTGAGTAAGCTCACACTAATCTATTATCCCATCCAATTTTCCCTTTTTTTTCAAAGAGATCCCTGAGCCTATAAAATTTTCCCCCAACCCCAAACCCTATCCTATACCAATTATAATCAATCCCTAAATGATGTCCCTAACCCTGAGGACAAACATTGTTGGGAGAGGGGATGTTGTCTTCTAGAATTACTTCCACCTGTCATGGGGCAATGATCTTCATATGGGATCCTGTGAAAGTAAAATGATGGTTAAGTTCCAAGATTAATGTCTGATATAATGCAGATAGTCTCTGAGTATTTGGTGGAGGTCTGGCCAGAACGTTGTTAAATGTGCATTTCAGCTAACCAAGTTGAAACCATCTTGTGCAGCTGGTACCCAAAACACACCTTGGAGTAGCGCTATCAGCATCATGACATCATATCACCAGGTGGAGTTGTTGTAGGGACCCTCTTCTTCCTGGAAACTTCAAAGATTACTGCAGGAAAATTCATTGTTCATTGTGGAAAACTTAAACATTATTTACAAAGACATTTACAAACATATCTATTCAATGAAAGGTACAATAAAGCAAAAAATAGATATGAAGAAAAGTAAATTTTTTTCTAAATTCTTTTTTCCTTTTGTCTCATACTAGATGGCACTTGACATGAGACAGAAGCTCTGGATTTTTCTTTTAACAACATGCTTGGATTTAGAGAAGGACAGAGCCATTGTCCAACTCCAAAACCAGCTCTATATATTCACATATATACATATATACATGTTTTCTCACCTGTCCTTACAAATCATATTCATTTTTCTTGATGATCCTTATTGGATAGTTATTTTGCCTTCTGTCAGCACCCTAACATTCCGGGTCTCTTGAATTTTTAAAGGTGAGTATTTTCCTGCAAAGACAAGAACAGATCCTGCCCCACACTATATGTTTTGCTTACCACCTTTATAGTGATCACCATTGTGAATGAGCTATCATTTCTCCTTTTCAAGAGGTTTCTCCTTTACAAACCGATTCTTTATTAATTTTGATGGTATCCATAGTTTTTCTTCTGTGGAAACAAGAGCAAAACCCCTTCCTCAATGCAGCACATCTCCTAACTTCCATTGTGAGGTCAACATATCTTTGAAATAAACTGGTTGATTTGGTTCAGCAGACTTTTCTGTTATCCAGTGTATCTCTGCTGCTGTTGTCCCTTTCTTATTAGCATTAAGAAAATTCAAGGTTGGGCTCCACCATGCTAAGCTCTCCTGCCTGCCATCCCAGCTTCCATTCAGGTACAAATTCCTATATTTCTCCCTTCCCCCTGGGGCCATAAAATTTCTGGAAATGGAAACTTTTATAATTTAATAAACTTTGGAAAAAAAAGAAATCAATGTCCAACCAAAACATAAGCACCACCACACAAAATGACAAAGAGGATGCATCCATTATCACAGGCTGACATTATATTATGGTCACCTCATCAATCACAAAAGCAAAAAACTTCCATGAAGTCTATACTTTCATAGATGATGGAAGAGAAAGGTTAAACAATGTAGCATATGAGTGTTCTAGAAAGCATATGAGTAGTATGAGTCATGTGCCTGAAGATCTCAGTTCCCATTTATGATCGGGAAGCAGAGCTAGGTTCACTACCTGTAAAAGGATGTCTATCCTTTAGGACATATGGAGTGATTGTACAAAGGCTCCTCTTCAAATATAGGAGCATTTTCTATATTATACTCATTCAGTCATAGTTATATGAATATCTTATTGATGTGGGAGAATTGTCTGTATTCTATCAATCACATTTTAATAAAACACTGATTGGCCAGGCAGGCAGTATAGGCGGGAAAGCAGACAGGAAGTAGAGGTTGAGCAAAGAGACTGGTAGTATTCTGGGAAGCAGGAAGCTCCCTCCACCATTCCTGCCCAGATTACCAAAGAGGCAACATGTGAGCTGTCATGCTGAGAAAGGTACTGAGCCATGTGGCTAACATAGATAATGATAATGGATTAATATAAGTTACAAGGACTAATAAGAAGCCTGACCTAATGGGCTTATATAAATCAGTTTATAACCTTATGGAGTCCTGTGTGTGATATTCTTTGGGATATGCCGGTTGTGGGGTACTGAGCAGGACAGAAACCCCAACAAGCCGGCCCTACATGTTAAAAAAAAAGAAAAGAAAGAAAATCCAAGGTTAATAAAGCATTATGCAATCTATTTCTGGGGGCATTTTCCACCCCTTTCTTCTTGTTTAACATATCCTTTATAGTTTGCTTTGATCTTTCTATAACTGCTTGACCTGAAGGATTGTGTGGTATACCTGTAATATGCTTAATATTATAAAAAGCAAAAAACTGCTTCATTTTCCTAAAGATATATGCTGGACCATTATCTGTCTTTATTTCTGCAGATATACCCATGATGGTCATAACTTCTAATATATGTGTGATTATTGAATCAGCCTTTTCTGAGCTTAAAGCAGTTGCCCACTGAAAACCTGAATAAGTGTCAATGGTGTGGTATACATATTTTAATTTACCAAATTCTGCAAAGTGGAACACATCCATCTGCCAGATTTTATTTCTTTGAGTACCCTTTGGGTTGGTCCCTTCAGGTAGTGGTTTTTGGTTACAGAAAGAGCAAGTAGGGCATTTCTTTATAATCTCCTTAGCTTGTTGCCATGTAATAGAAAACTCTTTCTTTAAACCTTTGCTATTGACATTATGTTTTTATTAAATTCTGAGACCTGTAACATGCTTCCAATCAATAATTGATCAATTTCTGAATTACCTTGTGCTAGAGGACCTGGCAGAACCATATGGGATCAAATATGTGTTATGTATATAGAAAAAACCTATTCCTGATTATGTCTTGCATCTGGATGAATACATGAAGTCAATTCTGTATCATCTGATATAAATTCAGTGGTTTCAATATGCAAGATAACTCTTTCTGCATATTGCAAACCAGTAACTATATTAAGAGGCTCTTTAAAATCCCCTAGCACCATGAGAATAGCTTATAATTAGCATTGTATTAAACTAATACAAGTGACAAATCTTTACTGGGTACAAGACCACTGTCTGACAACAATCACCCCTAATTTCTGTTCTGACTGTTTTGTGTCATTCAGGGTCTTATTATGTGACCCAGGCTTGCCTTAGCTTGTGATACTTCTCACTCAGCTTCCAGGGTGACAAGATTACAAACACACATGACTGAATTAATGTGTGTGTGTGTGTGTGTGTGTACTAAGATACACACACATACACACCTTTCATATCCTGTCTTAAATCTTATATATATATATATATATATACATATTTATATATATATACCTGTCAAAGCAAAATAGAACAAAAACTTAATCTGCCTCAGCTTTGTATCAATAAGTTCTTCCCAAAGAAGAAATACTTAGTCTTTGAGTGGCCAGCACACAGGAAGAAGCTTGGCCAGTTAGAATTGCTGCAAGATCAAGACCTGGATTCTACCTTTGTGAAACAAGAAGGCAGATTTCTCTTTTTTGTGTTCAGCTGTTCCAAGATTAAAATGCTTTCAGGAGGCATCAAGGTCAATGAACTATGTGGGTCTTTTCCCAGTCCTGCTCACTGTCTAGGCCACAGCATCATGAGATAGCAATGATCTACTTCAGCTTTGAAGAAATGTAGACCCATCACCATTATAAGTTGTAGATGGTACCAGCTTTTATAAAAGATTTTGTCTATCACATTTTGTCGTTGGATAAAAAGAAAAGGGTGCAAAAGGGAAAAAAAACCTTTTAAATTACCCTAGCAAACTGGACCTGAATTCACCAATGAGAGCCAATAAACAAGTATAATTCTTAAAATTTAAATGTAAGTACAATAAAAATCTACATGGAGGTAGTCATTGTCATGTTACCACATATACAAAGTTTTCTTGGGCAGTGATATTTATTCTAATCAACCTGATGGATACTTTCTTACCAAGAGAGCATGTTTTGCTCCTGAGTTGGAATGAATTCCTTACTATGGGTAGTGGCTATGACACAGACAATCATGAAAGAGATATGGAGCCTGTTATCATGGTGCTTATGTTAAAAGGGACAAGAACATTCCATAGATACAGGCACATGTAATCTCCACCCAGCATGCTTAGTCTTTGGAGTCCCACACCCCATGAGAGGATTTTTGCACAGAGGAATTTCTAATTCCACCAATGTGAGGTAGACACTGTTCTGTCTGTCATTCTTCCAAATGATGCTAAGGACACTGGAGGTTTAAGGCATCAAAGATTGACATATTCAGAATTACAGAGAATAGTGTTATCTTCACCCATCTACAGCAAATATTGTCACTTGTTTCCTGGTTGTAGGACTAAAGAGTTTGGTGACAACCTATATGAACACCATCAGCAGTGGAGACCAATCTGGAGAATGCTGTCTTGGCTTTGTCACAGACAGAGAATGAAGCTGCAGTGCAAAAGGTCATTACCCACTATGACCAGCAGTTGAGCCAGAAGTTGCAATTACCCACAGAGACCCTCCAGGATCTGATGGACCTGCACTGGGCCAGGGAGAAAGAAGCCATCAAGATCTTCAGGGATAATTCCTTCAAAGATGTAAAGAATCAAATGTTCCCAAAGGAATTAGGGGTAATTGCCTCTCAAGGTTACCGGGATATAGAATTGGAAGGCAAAGTGTTGTTAGGAAATAAAATGGGTGTTTGAGAGGGGCAACTGTTACTAGATTTTGAAGGAACAACAGTTACCTATTGATAATCCCAATAATCTAGAAAATTGGATTATCATGAATCGAAAGCTTTATGAATAAGCTAGTGATATTCCCCGTTCACTGAATTACGTAGAGAAATAATTCGTGTGTCTGATCAAATTGCATGCCTAGTATCAGAAGACTGACCCAATATTTAAGCCAATAGTTTAGAAAATTTTAGTCTTAGCTATCTTTAATGCTAAATCACGTTTATCTCATGTTACATCTTTGGCCAACTGTGAAAAAAAGTAGTTTACCTCTAAAGTTGTTAATCTCTGCTCTAAACTTCAGTGCCAAGGACCAAGGATGATGCCAGTATAAAGCAGGCATCAGAGGAAGGGATGTAGTTATAGTCAGTGATTGTGAGTTTTCCTCTGTTTGGGGTTTTCTGTTTCATTTTTAAGAAATGTTCCCAGAGGGTGTTCCACTGGACTCTTCTCTGCCTCCACTGTCGCCCTTTTGTCTCCTGTGTCCTTGGAATACCAGCTGTCCCTATTTTAGTGCTGAGGAGTTCCAACCAGAGGGGTGAGTGTGTGCTATCTGGGGCGGACTGTCCAGGAAGAGAGCACAGCCCACCCCTCCGGCTTCTGCGGCAGGGTCTTCTGGGTTCCACTGGACTTTACCCTGCCACCATGGTCGCCCTTTTGTCTCCTGTGTCCTTGGAATGCCAACTATCCCTATTTCAGTGCTGAGGAATTCTATCCAGAGAGCTACTAATACTGCAGGGTCTTCTGCATTCCACTCTACCCTACCCTGCCACCAAGGTCGCCCTTCTGTCTCCTGTGTCCTTGGAATACCAACTATCCCTACTTCAGTGCTGAGGAGTTCCATCCAGAGAGGAAGAGATGGGGAGGCGCCAATGCAAGAATTCCTCCAACAACCTGAAAGGCAACATGGCATCGCCAGAATCCAGGGATCACGAAACTAGAAGAATTGAACACCCTTCTCCAGAAGAAATAGAAGAAAATAACTCTAAGCAGAACTATGTGAAAATAATAGAGGAACTTAAATAGGAGGTGAAAAATCTGCCATAAAGAAATGGAAAAGAAGTATAACAAAAAGATTGAAAAAATGAGTAAAGAAATGGAAGAGAAGAATAACAAAAAGTTTGAAGAATGAGTAAATCTATAAATGAAACCTTGGGAAACCAAGAAAGAACGATCAAACAGGTAAAGGAAATAGTTCAAGAATTGAAAACTGAAATGGGCCCTTTGTCGCCCGGGTCCTGGGAAGACCAGCTAGCCCTGTTGCACTGCTGAGGAGCTCTTCCCAGAGAGGTGAGGGGGTGCTCGCCTGGGCAGCCTGCCTGTCCGGGAAGAGAGCACAGCCCCTCCCCCTCAGCTTCTGTGACAGGGTCTTTGGTGTTCCACGGGACCCCTCCCTCCCCACACTGCTGCTGGCCCTTTGTCTCCCAAGTCCTGGGAAGACCAGCTAGCCCTGTTGCACTGCTGAAAAGCTCTTCCCAGAGAGGTGAGGGGTTGCTCACCTGGGTAGCCTGCTTGTCCAGGAAGAGAGCACAGCCCCTCTCCCCTCAGCTTCTGTGGCAGGGACTTCGGTGTTCAACAGGACTCCTCCCTCCCCCCACTGCTGCTGGCCCTTTGTCGCCCAGGTCCTGGGAAGACCAGCTAGCCCTGTTGCACTGCTGAGGAGTCCTACCCAGAGAGTGCTGAGGAGCTCTATCCAGAGAGTGCTGAGGAGTCCTACCCAGAGAGTGTTGAGGAGTTCTATGAAGAAAGTGCTGAGGAGCTTCATCTAGAGTGGACGAGATGGGCAGGCACTAATGCAAGAATTCCTCCAACAACCTGAAAGGCAACATGACATCTCCAGAATCCAGGGAGCTTGAAACTAGAAGAATTGAACACCCTACTCGAGAAGAAATAGAAGAAATCGACTCTAAGCAGATCTTTATGAAAATAATAGAGGAACTTAAACAGGAGGTGAAAATCTGCCGTAAAGAAATAGAAGATAAGTATAACAAAAAGATTGAGGAAATGAATAAAGAAATGGAAGAGAAATATACCAAAAAGTTTAAAGAAATGAGTAAATCCGTAAATGAAATTCTGGGAAACCAAGAAAAAACAATCAAACAGGTAATAGAAACAGTTCAAGATTTGAAAACTGAAATGGAGTCAATGAAGAAATCACAAACCGAGGGCCAGCTGGCTATGGAAAATCTAGGTAAATGAACAGAGACTTCAGAAACAAGCATAACCAACAGAATACAAGAGATTGAAGAAAGAATCTCAGACTCTGAGGACACCATAGAGAAATTAAACATTCTGACCAAAGAAAACAGCAAATCCAACAAATTCTCATCACAAAACATTCAGGAACTGTGGGATACAATAAAAAAAAACCAAATCTAAGAATAATAGGAGTAGAAGAAGGAGAAGAA